CCTTGTTTTCTAGATTTATTGGTTTAATTCCAGTTTTGTTGTATTTCTAGATTTATATTAGTTCTCATGTTTTCCTGTTGTCCCCTTTTGCCCTCGTGTGTGTGTGTGTGTATGTTCCTTTCCCCTTGGTTCCCTCGTTGTCTCCTCTCACACCTGTTCCTTGTCTGCTCGTTAGCCCTCCCTTTGTCTCTCTCTCCTATATATGCTCTCCCTCTGCTCTCACTCTTTGTTGGTTCCTTGTCTTTGCTGTCCTCCCGTGCTGTTGTCCACATTCCTCATCTCTCCCTGGCTTCTCGTGTTTGGTTTTCCCCAGATGTCTCCTCTGTTCTGGTTTGCCTTTTTATTATTAGTTGCATTTTTGGATCCCTGCCTTTGTTTACTGTTTTGCCCCATTAAAACTCCCAAGAGTTGTCCTCAGCCTCTGCCTCTGCATTTGGGTCCAAACCACAACTAAACCCTGACAGTTTTGGATCTTTGATTCTGTTCAGATTTTTCTTTTTAGAGTCTTATTATCTTCTGGATGCTTTTTTTGGCTGTTTGCTGCATTTACAGTCTGTGATTTTTGTCTTTCTGTGTTTGCTGTTGAGATTGATCTTGTTTTGAATTATATCTTAGCTTAACTTTTCCATTGTGTTTTTCTTAAGTTACTGCTAATGTTTTTCCGAGTAGTTTATCTAAGTAGGACAGTTCCTCTGTCAGGATGAAATATTATCTTCATTATGTATATGGCAAAGATTTGGGAATGTAATCAGAGTGGTGTCCTTTATCTAAGAACATAGTGTAATATTTTGATAAGGCTGGAGCCATGGATGTCTCCTCATTTACAAACGTGCATAAAATAAGGATGTGTTGTGGCATACTGGAGTTGTAAAAAAATGCTTCTTAACTGTGATTTAAGTCCACTTCAACAAGAGGCAAGCCCGGTTGGCAAGCGCTGCCTTCTGTAACCCTAAGCAAATTCTCTGGTCTGAGTAAAATTACAATGTCTGTCAATGTCTTTTGTCAGGACACATGGTTATTTAATACATATACATTTTGAAGTGTTATTTAAAGAGTTTGTCCCGAGTGATCTCTTCTCTCTCAGGTAAGAATCAGGGAAAGAAAGCCTATAGGTGTAAACACAGAGCTTTCCTTCATAAGTATCTTGTATCTTATGTTTATCCATTGTATAAGTTATCTTAAGTTTTTTTCAGTCTATTTCCCCTTCCTGTACTATTTCCTTGGTCATCCTGTGTTTCTTAGTTATTAGTCCCATTTCTTTTTTGTGTCGTCTCAGTTTTTCTCCAAGTTACATTTAAGACCTGTTGTTTTTCCTGGTTGCTCTGCCTTGCCCCCTAGTGCCACTCTCCCTTCCCCCTTGTTCCCTTCTAGCTCCTTCTATCCACACCTGCTCCCAGTTAGTTAATTACTGCATGGCATTCTCCTCCCCAGTATTTATGCTCCTATCATTCTTCTGCTCAGTGCTGGTTCCTGCTGTTTTGTTCCCTGTACCTGACCCCCAGATTCCACATACTCCGTCAGCGCTCCGCTCCGCCCCGCTGACGTACGTCGTGCGGAGCGCTTGTCTTTCATGGAAATCAATGAGAACGGTTCCACATCCACCGCTGCTCCTCCGCACGTCTCCGTCCACGTACGTCTTCTCCGTCCGTCACCGACAAATTACGGAGCCGAGCTATTTTTTGCTCCGCTCCGGTCCGGCCAAGTCAAGATCCGCAATTGCAATCGCACCAAACAGGAAAAAGAACCTCGACAAATTCCGGTTCGTCAAATTAAAATATAGTAGCAACAGATTGGTGACTTTGCGTGGAACTGTTTATAAAGCCGTATGTTCGGAAAGGAAGCTCGAGGCGGAGAAAAAGCTAGAGAATATATATACGTGTATATATATGTGTGTGTGTGTGTGTGTTTACAGTCATGGAACTCTGCTTACAGCTCCTTCATATTTCATGTACACTAATAACCTTTGTACATGGTTCTTGTTGATGGCATTAAAATCATTTCAAATAGCATTAAAATAACATTAAATTAGAGTCACTCACTCCTGTATGAACCCTGTGAGCGCTTGATTTAATATGGCATATTAAAAAAATCCCACCATCATCCAGCATATGTTCAGTTTCTGCCCAAATATATAAATATATATTTGTAGATTTTTGTAACAGAGATAAGGATAATTCAAAACTGCTTTTTTTTTAATGAACTTGTTCTCTACAACTCAGCATCTCTTTTCATTCCTGTAATAAGAAGTTTCTTTTGAATGGATTTGATTAAACTTTAAGTCCCTCGGTATAAAATAAATATTTTAATGGAGATGAGAAATCTGCGTCCTGGTTGGTGAATAACCAATAGTTTGGATCCAATCATTTAAATAAACGGTGTTAGTTTTTTTTTTTTTTTTTTTTTAGATATTTATATATATTTATGGATATTTTTTAGATAATATCTGACGAAATTGTTTTTAGAAGCATTTTTATTAAAGAATCATAAATGCAACGATAAACATATTTAATTAATTTTAGTGCCAATTAAGGCCTTGATTAAAAAAAGAATTATGAATTGTAATTATTTTTTAATGATCCGCGGAAACCCTGGTTCATCTGGCGCATGCCCTCTATGATCTCCAAGGAACTCAGAGCGGAGGGGACGGAGCAACAGCGGCGGCTGTAGGCTTTGCTTTGTGCAGGCGGTCTGGAGCGCAGCGGAGCGGAGCGGAGCGCAGATGGAGTATGTGGGATTTCGGGGTGAGCCTATGTTCCTCCCGGTGGTTTATATTTCTTCTTTACATTTCTGTTTTTGTTTTTTGTTTTTGTCTGGCTCCTTTATCATCTGTAGTTTTTGTAAGAGCTTCTCAATTCTTTATCAAAGAAACACCAAAATCACTTTCTGCTCTGCCATTATGCATTTGGGTCCTCCCCTAATCAAAACACATACAAACAAAGCAAAACAAAACCTGGATTTTTGTACATGAGGCCCCAGGTGACTTTTTAAAAAATGAGTTTTTGCAAACTTTTTCATACTGCACCTTAATCTCTCCTCTTTCTCAGGATTGATGGTTGAAATATATGTGCAGTAGAGCAGGCATCCCCAATCTCGGTCCTCAAGGCCCCCTGTCCTGCAGGTTTTAGAGGTTTCCTTGCTCCAGTACAGCTGATTTTAATTGAAAGCTGATTAACAGGCTTTTGGTCTACTGCAATCATTATAACCAGCTGTGCTGAAGCAGAGAAACCTCTAAAACCTGCAGGACAGGGGGCCTTGAGGACTAAGTTTGGGGATGCCTGCAGTAGAGGATATCAGTTTGAAGTTTTGATGGGAAAAGGGTTAATGCTAGGCCTTCCACAACAAGAAATGTGTGGGGACAAAGGGTATCCCAACACCGAATCACCTTCGAAGAAGATTATGCATCTGAGGAAGCAAAGAATTTCAAGACTTAGCTGAATCATATTAAACCTTTGTGTAAACATTTACAATAATAGATTCATCACACTGCCAATAGAACATCCTGTGTAACTTCCCCTGCAGCCTGCAAAGGCCCAACTGCTGACATGGTTGCTGTGTTCGTTTTCAGCTGCTGCTTCCTCCAAATGAACCAGCCTACCTGGACTAAGTCCTTCGAAGGCTTTGAAAATAAGGAGACTGAAAGAGGCTATAGAATTGGACAGGTAGAGCTTTCCCTAGCTGTCATTGCCCTCACTCATCATAAGCTCTGTCCCATAGAAACCATGACACTTCTTACTACCCTTTTCTGTGCCAGTTTCATTTTTGAGGAGCTTCAGCAGTAGTACCGTTGTGGCAGTAATCAGATTGTAGTCCCCCACAGTGCAATTTGTGCTTAAATGTCAGCCAAATTCATTTGCACAGGTACAGATAAAACCTCTCAATAAACCGAATATTACCTGCAAGATATCTGACTCACTAATTATTCAAATTAACTTTTATAATTAATTTAAAAAGAAACTATTCACATATTTGTTTTATATTAAAATTCACTTACAATTTTAACAGCTGTTTGTCACCATTTCCCCTTTTCCTCTGAGCACGGAGCAGCTGGCTTGCTTGGACACAATGAATCACGGGATACCCAAGGATACAAAGGACACTTTGGACCTGTCCTTCCATCTTGGACAGAAGAATGCTGAATTTGTCGACCACATTTGAAGGAGTCTTCAAATCCAAACAGGCTACAGCACCACGATATTCGAACACAGAAAAACAGCATCTGTTTAAATTTAATCAGCAAGTGCAGGAGAGGATGTGATTCTTAGGCTGTATTTTCCAGAAACCTCAGACTTACTAGGTATTCCTGTAACTCAATTACTCTGTAGATCATCATTTCAGCACAATGGAATTTGATCAACTAATTTACAGAAGATTAACTTCCACAATTTTTACAAAGTTTTTTTAAAAAGCATAAGTGTGTAAAAGGTCAAATTCAGGTCCTTAGAGAATGAACAAAGTGAATAATCTATTTAAGGGTTACACTTTCACTTTTTACGTAGATGTTAGTAACTTGGAAGGTTACAGAGTTCATTTGTCTTTTCTATTTTTCTTGCTGCTGAAAAGAAGCAAGAGCTGCTGGTAAAATTCCTTATGATTTACTTACCTTGAGGACTTTGTTCATTGTACCAGTTTATGAACAACCACAACAAAACTCTTATGCAAAAAGTCATAATCAGTGTCGTTGCAATAAAAAGAACAAGTATCCATGGAAATTGTAATGACAGGCATCATTAATGTTTTACTTTTACATGAGAATGATTTGCTTTTCTTAGAATCATGTACTCCTGTCTAAAAATGTTCATTTACTGTTATTTGTTTCATTAAAAGAGCACAGCAGAAATATGTTTTTAAATAATACATTTACACTTTTAGCACTTTTAATCATAAACATTAAACTGAACCAAGCAAAGATAAGTCTGAGATAATTCTGTTTTACAGCCCTGTTGTAACTTTGTAACCTCCCACATTTTAATGGAGGCATCTCAAAACTGTGAGTTCAGCTTCACAGTTCAAAGCACTTTGTTTCACAGTTCAGAGTGGGTCTGTTTTGTGAATATCAGCACTTATAGAGGCGTTATTATTATTTTTGATTATGAAAATTTGCCAGACAAAGGAGAACCATGAAATCAGGGACTATGATACCATTACATCTTTCCTTGAATCCTGGGGAGCATTTCAGAGGAGGATTTTTTTGGCATTGGCCATCAGCATCCTACCGAATGGATTTACTGGAATCTATATTGTATTTGTAGGTGACACCCCAACTCATGAATGCCGCATTCCAGAGAACAACAACATCAGCGAGATGTGGAGAAATGTGACAATTCCCCAGGAAACAATTGATGGTGTCACAAAGCGAAGCTCTTGCTGGAGGCTGAACCTACAAACAGTCAGAAACTACTCTCACATGAACATTACACCCAATGTTGATGTGAATGCGAGTGAAATTCCCTGGGAGAAGTGTCTAGACGGATGGACATACAGCAAAGAAGTCTACCAGTCAACAATTGTTACAGATGTAAGCCTTGTTCTTTTCTTAAATATTTAGCAAATGACTGAATTTTGTATTTGTCCTATGTAATAATTTTATTCTGTACGATTTGGTCAAAAAGGTTGGAGATGTTTAAAATCACCTGATAGAATTTTAATTGTCAGTAAACATAGATTTACACAGACTGTTAATTAGAGACCATTTCTTGCCCGCAAATGGTGAGGCTGACCTTTGAAATTTGATCTATGAAGGTTTTACAAACAACTGCACATTTTAAAATATAGTAGGGTAATACAGTCCTTGTAGATGTATACCATCTGGTTAAAATCGCTAAATTACCTCCTTAGAATGTCACTAAGTTCTACAAAGTTTAATTTAATAGCAAAAATTCAAAACCAACAAAAATTTGATAAAGATTTGCTTAAAATCAGAAAAAGCATTTAGTTCTGGTAAGGCATAAGGTGATAAGCATTCATTTGATTCAAATATGTTGAAGAAAGGAGGGATTTAAAAGTTGCAGAAGAAGTAAGTAAGTCAAAAAAAAAATTTATTATATATATTTAAAATTATATAACAGCAAAAAATATTGACAAATAAATAAAGGGTATTGAAAATAATCACATCAGAACATTTTCCCACAAAATCACTTTACCACAAAATCAAAACATTTTGATTTTGTGGGAATCTGTTTGATTCCGCCATTAAATCGTGTTTCTTAATTCTCAAAATCCTCCTACAGCATGTTTAGTCCAGTAGTTTTCTTATGATTTATTTTATTTCTTTAGATCCTGTCATATCGTATCAGTGTTGCCATTTTGTTTTCTTCCTTATTTATGTTCCTTTATACCTGTGCTTAGTTCAGTTATTGTGGATCAGGTCTTTAGTATTATCTTATCTTTCATTTTAGATTAGGGCTCCTTACACATAGTACACATTAGTAAGGACACCTAAGGAAAGTTGGAGGTGTGTCAGCTGTCGCCTTGATAAATGCTATCTGAATATTGCTAGCTAGAAAGAGGAAGCAGGATGTTTGCTATCACCTGTTTAGTTAGCATAGGGACCTCCCGCACTTCCTAACTGCCTCTAGGAGCTATACAGTTTTCCAAAATCCTTTGCAATACAGGATGTATAGGCACAGCTCATCTCATGGAGTTGAACAACAATGCATTTCATTTTTGTGACACGTGTGGCACGCGAATGTATAAATCGAATGTATAAATCTTATTGTATGTTTTTGGTTTCATAATGAAGAGTTTCAGCCATTCGCTACATCTGTGTAATTGTTGTTTCTTGAGGTGTTTTTCAAAAGGCTGCAGCAGTCTTCCGAAAAAGGACAAGTATTATCCAAGTACGTGTCCGTCATGTAATGAACTCCGTAAGTCTAAAAGCTGTCCAGATTCAGCACAACAGTCCAGAGCTCCCTTTCTCCTCCTTGATAGTGATCTGAATGATTCCCCACGAAAGGTGAAGGGATAGGAAGTAGAACACGATCATTAAAAATCCGAGAACATTTTTTCTCTCCACCTTGAAAATTCAAATACAGTATAAAACACGGAGCCTGGATCGATATTTATTTTTGTTTATGGTCATGGTGGGGAATCCTGCTTCACAGCAGTAGGTTGGGCCAAACATACTCAAAATGTGCAGGGTCACCTTTGAGCACGCCAATTCACTTTTCTGTCACCGGTTCAACGCGCTTCTTCCAGCAGTCCACACTTTCTCTGCTCTCTTTTTCTCATCGTCTTCTCCTTCTTTCCCATCGCCCAACTTGCCACAGGTTTGACTGCTGTGTCTAAAAGTAGCAGCAGCAGCAACCCAGACTGAAACAGCTCATTGGCAAATTTGTATCATGTACAGCCTGGTGCTGGACGCTCCAGATGGCTTTACCATACAAACACAAGAAGCGGCGGTAGTGACATTTAGACACTGCCGTCGGTCAACATGCATTAATTCATAAATGTTCTAAATCAGGTTGGGTCCGGATCCGGACCCTGGTCCACTAATCCATGACCTCTGTTATATAGTGTGTATATATATATATGTGTGTGTGTATACTATATATACTATATACACACAGTGTATATAGTATATATAGTATATAGTCCTTAGGACCCTCTGTCCTACATGTTTTTGGTGTATCTCTGCCTCCACACATCTGAACTGAAAGAAAAGGTAATTAACAGGCTTTTGCAACATTTGAATGCTGTCAAGAAGGAAATGCAATGCAAGCATATATTTGTTCTGCCCAGCCACTGGACCAGGTGAGTTACTCTGCAGATTGGACTCTCCTGGTTCAGTGGCTTGGCAAAAGAAACACATGACATAGAGACGACTTGTTGCCTCCAAATCCCCATTTCTGAGAAACCACACAACCATGTAGTCAAGCCAAGCTAAAAGTGGCGGGACACTGACCCACCAGCACCTGTGTTTTAGAACATTGATTTAAATAGTTCTTTGTTGATTTCCTATTGTAGAAGCTTTCCATTATTGTTCTAAATTGCACACACCATGTTTCATGCTCTCCCTGTAAGTTTTCAGTATTTGATTTATCCTTTATCAAAAGAAACTCCTAACGTTACGAACTAGATCTTTTTTAACTCATTTTGTCCTTTACAAGTCCCATAAACTTGTCATGTTAACTATAGAATTCAAAATCATTCATTTTATGCTAATTAATTTCAGATAGTAAAATGTGCCTCATTACCCAGAAGTCACGCAAGAACCATTTCCATGTAGAAAAAAAAAAAACATTTTCTCAAGATATACACAGCTCTATTATTGCATAACATACTGATTGCATTATATCTTGTGACAAAATAAACCTTTAAACCTTAAATAAAATCTGTTTTTACAGTGGGACTTGGTATGTGATGACGCTTACAAAATTCCACTGACAACCTCTATTCATTATGTTGGGGTTCTAATAGGAGCTATGGTATCAGGCCACATGTCGGACAGGTATGTACGTACACATGTAGCATATATTTATGTGTCTTTTTAAACAACATTTAAACTTCAACTTTTTGTCTTAGGGTTGCTGAATGAATGACTCGTTAGCTTGTCTCCTACAGGTTTGGAAGGAAGCCTATTCTCTTTGTCATGATGGCTGTACAAACCATAGCACTGACAGTACAGATCTTCTCACCCAGCTGGGAGATCTTTACCTTCATCTTTTCCCTTGTGGGGGCTGGATCCTTCTCCAACTACATAATAGCATTTGTTTTAGGTAATATAAAGTCAGCACCAACTATTGCTTAATGTTAGGAATGTTTCTGCCCTCTAGGTCTCTTCACACTTCCCACAAAATCATTGAATTTATGTATCATAATCACATACATGACTGTAGGAGTGTGGCGCCACATCGACCCGGGATACGGATTGCATTTGTGACATTTATTCCTCTCAGGACCTTTGTCAATTAGAAAGTAATTTCATAGAAATATGAGACCTGTGAGATGAGTCTACAGTTGACTTTTCAACACTATAGAACATTCCACAGTCTGTCGACGGTCGACTCTTAGAGGTGTTAAAACTGTAGAGGATTTTTTTGAGTTTTGCAGTAACAAAACTATAAAGGCTTTAATTCCCTTTGTTTTCAGTTTGACTATTAACTTTAGAGAAGAGGAGAGGTTTGTCTTTTCTTTTTAATTCACAGTGTTTTAGTCTGCCTTTAAAATATTTTGAACATACAGTTCGAAAGGACCTTATTAAAACCTAAGTCAATAGGTACAGCCTTGTGCAAAGTAAAATACAAAGCTATATGAGTTATTTATATTCATATATAAATAATCAAAAAATGGTAATAATTGACCAAGACAACAGAATTTCCTAATTGAAATTTTCTACTCACATAACCTACAGGATCCGAACTTCTCAGCCCCAGAACCCGAGTTGTGTTCTGTTCCCTTGGTGTTTTTATGGGCTCCGCTGTAGGTTATATGGCCATGCCTGCCGTGGCCTACTTCATTCGTGAGTGGAGATTGCTGCTGATTGCAATGGCTGCATCTGGACTTATCTACATTCCTCTTTGGTGGTAAGAATACTAAAAACACATTTTAGATGAAATCATGCAAAACAAAGGTTCTGATCAGATTGATATATAATATCCTGTTTGTTTTACCTGCCAAATACTCTGTGTCTTGAGGTAAAAATCATCAAAGAAACAAATTATTTAACTTGAAAACTTGGGGGTTTCACCCCTCCAGCCTCTTCCAGGCATCTTGATATCCTGAAACTCAAAGGGAAATATTTCAAACAGTCTGTTTTGCAGTAATTTGGTTCTGGTGTAAGTCACAGGGTCTGCTTAGCCATTGGTCAGCCTGGAGATTTTGTCCCTTGGCAAGGGGACCATGATGCTTTCCTCTCTGATGTGAACCCCATGAGTGCCATGAAAAAGAAAACAAAGGCATGAGGCAATTGCTTTGTCCTCAAAGGCACACCCTTGTAGTAGTGTCTTGTGAAACTGTCTTTGGCTGTGAGAGAGTTACAGAAGCTTGAGTGTCCAAACAGCAGGCACACTTTAATCCTCCTAACCCAGTGGTTGTTTTAAATATCGGTATGGACACTGGTCCCTCCTATTAAATATCTTCATGCTTCCCTTAGCTCAGATTATAATAAACAACAAGATCAGTTACCACCAGTCACATCAAAATGTCACCAGGTGTCTATGAACCCATCAGAGTATTGGCTAGATGCTTAGAACAGATCAAGTCTCCTGACCTAAAAAGGCTCTATAAATGTCTAATCTATTTATGATTTTAATTAACATAAAATTGCCATATTATATTTAAAAATTGTGCTTCCAGTGAAATTTAAATTTCCAATTCAGGCAATTTATCCATATTCTTAGACTTTTTAGATCATAAAAAGTAATTGCAGTCACTTTATCCAGTAACTAGTTTAGTTGTGCAAACAGAGTTACTTTTTTGTAGAAGTTACAAGTAACTATTTTATCCTTGTACCCTTTTATTACTAAAGAACTTTTCTCATGCCAACCACAAAAAAAAAGAAAAACAGCAAAACTTGCTACACTTTTCATTAATATACAACAAAAAGGTAGGGCTAAAAGCTAAACTCTGTTGTACAATACAATGTCCTAAGATGCAAATGAGAAATTTCACAGCAACTTTGCAAGCTGTTATGTTCTAACTAACTTTAACCTGTGTGCACATTTGTCTATCCAGGTTACTCTCAGAGTCTCCTCGCTGGCTGCTTTCTCAGGGGAGAGTAGAAGAGGCTGAAGCCATTCTTAGAAAAGCTGCAAAGATGAATAAAATAGAAGTCCCTCAGGAGATTTTTAGTCGATTCGAGGTAAGTTTTTGTCACAGGGAACTGTTTGGATAAAAGGGGGAGGGACTTAACAGGCTTGACTAGTCCTACTAGTCCTAAAAAATGTTTAAAACAAACAAAAGTGCTGTGTTCAAAAAATAAGCCTAAAACTAAACATTGGTAAACATGAGCGCTGATGTCAGGCAGAAGTAAACAATCATACTAATAAGAGCTAACTACAGCAGCACCATTCGGGCAATGCACAGTTTCTCCTACTTTCATCAGGAAAACGATTCAGGATTATTGCATCAGACACACATAGATCCAAGAACAGTTTGTTTCCTAAAGCTGCAAAGGCAATTATTCCACTGCACCTCCAGCCTGTTTTATAGACTCTTTCAGCTCAAGCTATGCTTTGTGTAAATACAACATGCTACAATTCATGGAAACATGTCTATGTTCAGTCTTGCTAATGATGCTAGTTCTTTATATTTTTTCCATCCATATTTTCCTGTGACCATTGTTCATTTTTCAGATTTTTTTAAAGAGTCACAGTCTGTCAAAGAGGTTAGACAATCTAAATTTTTAAACTAAAAGTTGTTTACCAAACCAAACTTTTGCATCGAGTTTACAGTCATAGAACATATCCATGACTACTAATTCTTCTAATGCATTTTCATGACTCTAATACTTTTTATGTGTATTAATAGCAATAACAATTACATTTTATCTTACATAGATTGAAGATGCTTTGTCCAAGAGAGAGGAAAAAACAAATCCACTGGTCATCCTGAAAAGCTGCAATATAGCATCTATTACAGCTGTGTGTGCCAGTCTTTGGTATGTCTTTAGCTTTCTTAAATGGCATAATGCTATCATTGTAACACTTTGTTCACGGTTGTGTTTAATGGTTAGCATCTATGTGACTGCAATAAATAACTGTCTAGTTTCTAAATAAGATTCTTGTTTTTTTATTCTGTCATTAAAAGCATTTTTTTTTTATTTCTTACAGGATGGTTATCACCATCAGCTATTATGCTTTGATCCTCAACACTTCAAATCTTCACGGTGACCCCTATCTAACTTGCTTCCTGTCTGCTGTGACAGAGGTTCCTGCATATATATTTGCCTTGCTGCTGCTGCGGTTCTGCTCCAGGCATATTTGTCAGTCCTCCACTCTTTTCCTCGGAGGTGTAATGATACTCTGTGTTCGGCTCATACCATTCGGTAATCACCAATTCGCCAATTCCACACACTGTTAATAAGCAGAAATTGAGAAAATATTAAAAAATGTCAATTTATTACAAAACTAGTTGATTTTTAGAGAGACATTAAGAAGTTTGTCAATACATTTTAGCCTGCCTTATATCTGCCCTTCTATTTCTTTAGAAAACATCTTATCATAAGCCCAGATAAAAAACAAAAACCTTAATTGTTAGTGCCTTTTCCCAAATTCGGTCCTTTGTTCCACTTGTTTTAATATTAGATATAATAATATTGTAAAACATATTTTTGTTGTCCATTTCTCTAGATTTACCCAGTGTGGCTATAACTCTTGAGATGTTTGGTAAATTTGGAGTGACTGCAGCCTTCTGCGTGGTGTATTCAGTCACATCAGAGCTCTTCCCTACTGTTATCAGAAATACAGCAATGGGTTGGTGTTCGATGGCTGCCCGTATTGCAACCATCATCTCTCCTTTCATCATTTATCTAGGTAAATGTATTACATTTTTTTTCTGTTTTCTACTCATTAAATTCTTAAAGGAAATGTTTATAAAGACCTGATGCCATCACATAGTCACTCTATACTGTTATTCAGAATATGAAAAGATTATTTGATCTAAAAAATTTTTTCTTTAGGTTCAGTTTAAAGTCAAAACAATTCAATCTGAAAAACTTAGAAGACATTTTTTGATAAGATTACTTGATATTTGGTGCTCAGACCTCGGCAGGAAACATAGCGCTGAATTTTGATTGATAATCATCAACAGGGCTGTTTCTCCCCAGACCTGAAACTGGTGAGGGAGTGGAGATAGATGAAGTTAGTCAGTCTGTAGACTGCTGGTTAGCAAGACAGTATGCTAGGCTTTATGGGGAGATTCAGTGGATTGCGTGATCTGATACTAGAGCTTCACTCAGGGACCTGGAAGACAGAAGTCCAGTTTGGATAACACAGGTTGAGAGAACCTGTATATGATGAGCAAGCATGAAGCAACAGTGGAGAGGAAAAACTCCCCATTGGGAAGAAACCTCTGGCAGAACCACGCTCAATATGGCGGTCTTCTGCCGGAGTGCTTGAAAGGAGATGCGTAATGCAGTAGGGGTCCGGGAGGAATGAAACTGATGAAGTTTTAGTTACGATGGTGGAGGAGGGGCTGGAGGTGCGGTTAAAGGGGGTCATCTGAATAAAGTCACACAGTGCAACCAACACCTGCACACTAGGTAGCAGACGAGTTGAGAATTGGAGGCCTTTTAAGATGAACTTTGGATGCTAATTGGCTTTCAAGGAGGTGTGGTTCAAAGCTGATTGGCTGTGTCATAGGCAGATGAAGAAGAGTAATCCGTTTATTCTGCTGAACCCCCACCTACAGTAGGCTCTATTTGTCCAACTGCCCCAGTTAGTGGATTCCTGGTGTAAATGCCCTAAACTTCCCAGGTGCCATTGCACCTAGATCAATCCATCCTCTCCCGCTTTAGGTTCACATTGGGGTGGGTGCCTATCTCTGGTCCTCTATGGGGAGAAGCGGGGTACACCCTGTACAGGTCGCCTGTCTATCTCAGGGCAACACAGAGATATACATTCACACACACACTCACCCCTAAAGACAATTTGGAGATGGCAATTAACAGTAATGTTTTGTTTTTTTTCGGGGGCGAGAAAGCTGGTGTACCTGGAGAGAACTGACGTATTCACTGATATCAAACATATCAAAACAGTAATAAAAAGTTTAGCCTTTTTTTCGGGGAGGGCTTCTGGTATCATAAATGAGGTTAGGGTTAGATAATTCAGGCAAAATGTAATAAGTTTGTTTTTTATCGTCGGCATTACAACTGTTTTCTTTCCTCTCAATATATCTTTACCTTCTTTCTTATTTAAAGGCAAATACTACAATGCCCTCCCATACATTGTGATGGGTGTTTTAGCCATTTGTGGTGGAATAATCTGCTTCATACTGCCAGAGACCTATGGGAAAGCACTGCCAGAGACCATCCCTCAAATGCAGCACATGTGCGGGTCAGTCTGAAACTGTGTTTGATTCTTTCAATTAAAAGTTGATCCAAATACATTCAATAAGTGTAGGACCACCAAAATATAATTCTGAAAGCTATTGCTTTCTAATGTGGCGCATTGTTTTCATTCAAACAGGAAAGGAAGAACAATGAAGGAAGCTGAGACTGTGGCAGAAGAATGTATTTCCCAAGCTAGAGAAACCAAGTTATAATTTGTTATTAACAACTATGACTTAGTATGACTATAGTCTCCATTGGTATCTCTGTTTGCACAGCTGTACTTTTTTTTATTGTATTTTAGATAAATAGATAGATTCTTTACTTACTTTTTCATTCCTAAATATCAAACATATCACGTTGCAATTTAACTAACAATGTTTCTGTATCAATAATTTTCCTTCCTGATCACATCTGTTAAATGAACAGTTCACATCCAATAGTAACAGAAATGGAAGGGAAAAACTCAATGTTTGGCAGCAGGCAAACAAATTTAATGTAATGTAAATGTAAAGTTTTTGGTTGGTTCAAAGAAATACAGTTTTTGTGTCTGTTACATGCATGGACTGCAATGTAGGAATGACTGAATGTCTGACTAATGTATTCTGCAGGATTTTCTTGCTGCAAGGCAACAGTGTTACACACAGTGCCACACTGCGACCCCATTCCGATCTATCTTTGGAGTATTTTAATAACAGTTTAATTTTGTTTATACAACAGCACCATGTGTACTCTATCTGTGAAGATAGTCCAGGCCTGGAAAAGCATCCTTACTCAGGAAATGTCTGTTGCTATTTGGTCACTGTTAAATTAGTTTTCAGTTTTTAATATTAATTTGTGTTAAGGAAATCTCTGCGTTTACACCTTGAAGCTTTCTCTCTCCGGTTCTTATATAAATTGAAAGAAGAGATCACTCAGGAAAGCTCTTTAAATAACTCTTCATAATGTATATGCACTAAATTATAATCTTTCTCAGACAGAGAAGTTGCTTTGAGTTACAGAAAAAAGCACTAACCAACCGGGCTCACAAGTCATTGAAGTGGACCCGAATCACTTTTAAAGAAGCATTTTATACAACTCCAGGTTGCCACATCATCACATTATTACATCATACACATCTGTAAATGAGGAGACATCCATGACTTCAGCCTTATCAAAATATTACACAATGCTCTTTTTCCATTCCTAAAATCTTTACTACAAGCATAATGAAGAGGACTTCTTATCTTGACAGAGGAACTGTCCCAATTAGATCAACTACTTGGGAAAACATTACTTCTGACATACAACATGCATATATGATTAGGGCTTAACACACTTAAACATCCTCAATTAAAATTATCTTAACGGTTTTTTTTATTTTCCTATTGTCCAATTGTCCTTATAGCTTGAAAACTAAATTTCTGAAACACTGTGAAAAACTGTATTTACTTTACAAACATGTTATCTACAAACATAATTCAGAATAAAGTCAGAAAAATGTCACAGAAATCCACCTTGGAATCGCGGCTTGAAAAGATTGGGGTCTCTTACTATCCAGAGTATAAGAATTCAATATGGCAAAAACTTGTTTGGGATGTTTTGGCATCCCATTTCATGCCTGTCAGTTGTTCAGCACCTTGGGCTTTCTGTTGATTGTTTTTAAGTGTGCTCTATAAATAAATAAACATGAAAGAAAAATAAACCACAATGGTAAGAGGAATACCTAATCTGATAAACTTTTTAACAAATAAAAATCCTCTGAAATTCAAATTATGATAGTCGCACATTGCATTTTGACCATACCTCAACAGAATGATAAAAAAATATATAAACTCATAAAAATGACCCTTGAAAAGCAATGATACCCTTAACTTAGTATTTTCCTAACACTGATTTTCCTTGAGCTTGAAATTTACCCTTAATATCTAAAGAAGCTTTTACTGGGCTATTTTGCTATACCCTTCATATTATCCATTTCTTCGATTTGGCACCAATTCCCCCCTTCTTCCAGGTCCAGGAAGGTTGGTCAGTCCAGTCCCATGGATTTTACATTTATGAATAGTATGTGCAACTGTAGTCACATTAAAAAATCAAGCTGCTTGTCTATTTGACATGCTTGTCTATGCTTTTTTTTTTTCAATCTCCGTAGACAGCTCTTTATTTTCCTTCTTCTGGTCCATGTTGAGTGTGGTACATACCATGTCACCAAACAGCCCAGTGACACCTGACACCAGAACCACTGAATAATTACAAGGCTGTAGACACATGTGATGCTAATTAGTGGACACACCTTGATTTAACATGTCCCTTTAGTTACATTATTTTCTTTATTTTCCGGGTCTGATTCATGAGTTAAAAATTATGTTGAAGTATAGTGGAAAATCATTATTTGACTTCCATTTTTTTATTCTCATAGAATGTTTGGTCAGATACAATAATTTCTATGACCATTGTAGCTCTTTTCTTTCATGAAATGCAGGGTACCAACAATCTCTTCCACGTTTGTATATTCTGTAAACTTTTGATGATTGCATAGAAAAATTCATCCCTGTGTAACTTTTAAATTATGCCTCAGGCAAGATAGAATACATACATGTTTGATGAAAAGTTTCCAGATATTATGAATCATGTTGAAAACTGCTTAAATTAATTTAAAGTTCTTCTGTAACTATAGCACCATGGAGACAAACAGGGTGGATTGAAATTACAGATATCATGAAATGTGCTGATGTTTTATATCACATTAGGCCCGGTTATTGTGGGAGAACGACACGTGTAAATTTAGCTGTGAACGCTTAAGATCCAGACGGTACTAAATGGAGAGTGTAGTCTCTTCGTGGTGTTGATGGTCGCAGCGTGAACCAACAACTGGCCACCAGAACATTTTATATCTACGGGCCAAGCAACAGCAGCAACAGTTTAAAAACAATTTCCTCAATACGTCTATCAGTTGCTCTTAATGCTAAGTTATCTCAAGAAATAGGTTTTGAAAGGATATCGCCCCACTGCAGCTCAAATTTGGTAAGTTATTTATAATTTTTTTCTTCATTACTCCTCATTATTTATCCAATCAAGCCTGTATGGTTATTTATTTTTAAAAAAATGTAAAATGGGCTGAAACAGCTAAACATATCTATATCCCAGCCGAATGATTTAGCTGTAATATCAGAAACAACATCTAGATATATGATGGATAATTCAGTAGATAGTTCACTGTGATAATATGTTTTATTACAATTAAAGGATTGGTGCAGGTAATCACTGCACTACAAACAAATGTTGGAAAAGATCCTCTTCAGTCTTCTTTTGTAGTTATAAACTGTTTAACACAGCTGTTGGTTCCTTTGAAGAGCTCATTGTAAGCCAGCATTTCTGCTGTTTTACTCCTCAGTAACATGACCAACTACAGCAACTCACACTGCATAGACACATGCTTGCTGTTATTTTAGATGGTCACATTTCAGCCAATAATATTTTGGACCCAAAGGTATGTATGTGTGAGATAATGTGGGACAACCTTTTGCCATATCTTCAAGGTTGCATTGTAATATGATCTGGAGAGGAAGAAAGGAGAACAAATAGCCAACAGGTGTTACAGGTTTCACTTGTAGTATGAATAAATTGTATTTCTATTTTGCCATTTCCAACCAGCAACTTTGCTGCAACCATGACTCTCAATCAAAAAAATTGTTTTTTTGTAATTTATCATTTTTAAATACAAGTCTCACAAACTGATTAGGCTATTTCTAAATCAAAACCCAAATGTAATTTGGGTTTTCAGAATGATATCAAATTATTTTCCTATTAAGTAAGTTCTATAAAAAAAAAAAGAAAAACTTCAATGACATCAATACTACAATGATGACTTTCAATTCAATATGTACAAAAGCTTCTGATTTAATTTGGATGCATGCCTGCAAACATTGTTCAACAACCCTTGTTTTTTGTGAGTTATCCTTGAGGCTACAGTAGTTATTATCCTTGCTCAGTCCTGTCTCAGCTTAATCTCAAGCATTTATGCCTTTCTAAAAAAAAAACTTAAAGCAATAAATGTGAGAGTTAGAGATGGGATATCTATTTAAGATTTCATAAGCCATAGATTTAAAAGAGCACACTAAGGAAAAAGAATGCAAACCTGCTTCTTTGCTTTTATTTGGGTTGATGATTTGAAATGAGAAAAATGATTAAAAGCAGCTTTTGGCAGATTGTGAAATGGTGTATTTAAAATTCCTTGGATTTACCCATACATGTGTGACCTACATGTCCTATAACTGAATGTACTTATCTAGCTACCATAAACATTACTACTTTAAACATTCATAGTTTTTACCAGTAAAAAGGAAAACAACCTAAGCCCAAACTACTTTACCAGAATGTAACTTTGCTTCTAGCTAACAATCTATTTTTTTTTTCTCTTACTTCTGTCTGGTTTTGACTGAAACAACTGCAATGTCTGTGCTGCACGTGACAACATGGAAAGGCTTCCTGCTGGGACTGGACTCATTATAAGAATGTGCTTTGGCAATAAAGCTCAGTAGAAGCAGCAGGTGATGCAGCAGTTCTGCTAGAAATATCCCTAGATCTAAAATGATCTTCAAAGTAATTTACTTGGCATATCTTCATGCAGCCACTAAAGTTAATCCCATCTACATTTTGTAACAGAGGGCAAATGGGTTCAACCCTCTTAGTAACATTTTGTGTGTAGCAGGGACCCTAAAATAACTAAAAGTGGCATTTAAATTTAAGCTCATTTTGAGGGAATAACATAATTACGAACAAATAATCTGTTTGTGATTTTCTGCAATCTGTTAGGAAATTGAGCAAGAAAATGGATAACCAAAAAGTGAGGGACTATGAAACCATGACATCTTTCCTTGGATCCTGGGGTCCTTTTCAAAGAAGGATTTTTTTAGCCCTTGCCATCAGCATTATTCCAAATGGATTTGTTGGTGTGTACATCGTCTTTGTTGGTGACACCCCTCCTCATGAATGCAACATCCCTGAGAACGTGACCATCAGTGAGATGTGGAGAAATGTAACAATTCCGCTGGAAAAGGTTGATGGTGTCGTAAAGCGCAGCTCTTGCTGGAGGCTTAACCTGGAAGCAGTAAGGAACTACTCTCAAAGGAACTTCATCCCAAATGTTGATGTAAACGTAAGTGAAATTCCCTGGGAGACGTGTCTGGATGGATGGACTTACAGCAAAACAATCTATCAGTCAACTATTGTTACAGAGGTGAGTATAAAAATATTTATATTACAAAAAGGAGTAGTTCTGCTTTATTAAGGACTGTAGTTTTTATTCTTATGCAATTTTTTTATCTTTTTATTTAATATCTTAGTGGGGGAAAAGGACAGCAACGTCTTTGTATTTCTACTTTTAAACCATTGATTACTGGATTCATTTAGTCTTATTAATTTATTTTTTATTTTTTTATTAGAGGCACAGAACAAATAATAAAGAACAATTTATTTATTTATTTACTTGAAAGTTGCGGACTACTGATGGTGAGAACTTTGATCTCTATTCAACTAAAGCTAAAAGGGCAACACCTTGATTTAAAAATCATTATGGCGATAAAACTTTAAAGGTAAATACTGAAATTGTTGCAAGAGACCAATCAGTTACCCATATCATCATAATCATTTATAAATGATTAAGTATTATGTTGTCAGGGTAATAACAAGGGCCAGGACCAGTTCTAGAGGGGCACTAGCCACCAATGGCCCTTGTCTAGAATCACCCATGTGACAAGCTAATTAGATATGTCTCCTCGGACCTACAGTAAGCTGGCTAAGATATAAGAAAGGGATTTTTGTTATATGATCTTAATTCATTTAAATACAAGTGCAACAGTGCCAGTAGTCATACAAGTATTTAGCAGTATTTTTTTCCACAAAATCCATGTAATGCACACTTTTGTCTTTGAGTAGGTAAAGACAATGACCCTAGCTGAACTTTACAAAGTTCTGCACCTTAAATGCATTTAGAACTGCTAAATGACCATTGAAGCCATATTTAGGTGTTAAATGGGTGCCATTTAGCACCTATACATGACTTTGAGAATTTGTGCTTGAAAATATCACAAATGTCAAGGACAACTCCCATGGGCTTTTGCTATGTGACAAAAATATACCATGTCATGTGAGAATCCTTCAGGGTTTTTTATGTTTGGACACTGCTCGGGTCCTGAAGCGACTTTGTTTGTTTAAGATGTCTTAAAGTTTCATATATATTTATTGGTTAAAATCCTTTTTCTTTTTTTTAGGTTCCCTTTTGTCTGTTAATGTTGCCATTAGTTAAAAAAATTTAAAATAAGTAAACATATCAAGGCAGGTTACTCACCCATATTCCATTGATAATTGATGGATGGCTCTAAATTTCCTCAGTTTCGTAGAAAAAGAAGTGAGAGGTTTTGCTTTTTTAATTCAGCAGTACAAACAATGTTCCTCCAGTTAATCTGTCCTCTTTGGCCCCTTATGAAAAATCAGGCACCAAACAGATCCAAGCCTCAAACCGACAACTACAGCTGGTACAGAATGCTGCAGCATCATTTTTGAATGTAAAAGTAACGTGGCACACAACTCCGGTTTTGGCATGGGCTAGCCCCTTCCTATTCATATGAGTTGCTCCATGTCTTCACACCTTTTCTGTCTTCAGCTACTTCTATCTGTCCCAAAGTCTCAGTAAAAAATCCAGAGGAGAGGGCTTTTGTAGTACTAGCTCCTAAATTGCAGACAACATACTGCCGTTGGTGGTCAGGCAGTCTCCAACTCTTAATTTTTTAGAAATGTTTGAACCCACAATTTCTTCCTGACTTGTGAGTTATTTGTTTAAGCTGTGCTTCAAATGTTCTTGTTTTATATATATATATATATATGTATATATATATATATATATATATATATATATATATATATATATATATATATATATATATATATATATATATATATATATATATATATATATATATATATATATATATATTTATATATATGTATCGTGAAGAAAATAAGTATTTGAACACCCTGATATTTTGTAAGTTCTCCCGCTTAGAAATCATGGAGGGTCTGAAATTGTAATCGAATGTGTATGTCTACTTTGAGAGACCTAATCTTTAAAAAATCCAGAAATCCCAATGCATGATTTTTTTTTACAATTTACTTGTATGATACCGCTGCAAATATGTATGTGAACACCTGAGAAATCAATGTTAATATTTAGTATGGTAGCCTTTGTTTTTCATCAGATTTGCACACACTGCAGGAGGGATTTTGGCCCACTCCCCCACGCAGATTTCTCTAGATCAGTGAGGTTCCTGGACGGTCGCTGAGACACATGCACCTACGATGACAACTTCAGACCCCTTCATGATTTCTAAGCGGGAGAACTTGCAAAATAGCAGGGTGTCAGATACCTATTTTCTTCATTGTATATTGGTGTGTGTGTTCTTGTACACCAGCCCTTTACATTGAAGGGCTTTAAAGTGCTAGAAATGAAATGTATTTTTTGGTAATTGTCTTTGACCACTAAATAAAAATCAAATTTTTCAAATTTAGATGTAGATTAAATACACTTTATTTTTGTTTAAAAGAATCATCAAGCCTGTAACAAATAGCTGCTTAATGAATGAGAAGATGTGTCTGACTTTGCAGTGGGACTTGGTATGTGAGAATCGATACAAAAATCCACTGACTACAGCTATTCATTACATTGGAGTGTTGTTAGGAGTACTGTTCTCAGGCCATCTGTCTGACAGGTATGTATATATTGAACATGTTGATATTTATTCTACCAATCACTTCAATTCTTTGGTAGGAAAACAAGAACTTTGCTTATTCAACAGATTTGGAAGGAAGCTCCTCCTTTTTATCATGATGGCTGTTCAAACTGTGGGGCTCACAGCACAGATCTTCTCTCCAAGCTGGGAGGCCTTTCTTCTAATCTACTTTATTGTTGGTGCGGGAGAATGCTCCAACTATGTCATTGCATATGTTTTGGGTATGAATTTTGATTTATTACATAGTGTCTGTTTTGTCTATATATCTGTATTTGTATCACATTTGACAACCTAAGCTGACCTGGAAAGTCAGATCTTTCTAGGTATAACAAAACCTCAGGTTTTCAGAATGCGACATCAAGTTAAAGGTTGTGACATTTTTCCATAAACAAATGGCCTCTCCCAACAGGAGCCGAACTTCTAAGCTCTAAAACCAGAGTGGTTTTCAGCTCTCTTGGAGTATTTATGAGCTCAGCATTGGGATACATGGCAATGCCTGCTGCAGCCTTCTTTCTCCGTGATTGGCGGATGCTACTGATTCCCATGGCTGTCTCTGGCCTGATCTACATTCCGTTGTGGTGGTAAGAATATTGAGTGAGCCTATGATAGTATGACTGTTTTAAGTATTTTTTTTTTTTCTTCTTTTGAAACATCTTTTTTTTTTTTTAGATCATGTGCTCCATCTAGTTGCAAAGGGCTGTCACAGCAAACAGTTTTATATCTGCTGCTACAAAAAAGTTCATGCTTGACAAAGTTTAAAAGTGAAATTTCCATTTATTTTTTATTTTGAGTACTGCGACCTGAACCGCTGATTTTAAAAATTGTTAGATGCTGGAGGAGCAGAGTTAAAGAAATAAAATAAATAAACAACTGATTATGTTAAAAGCTTTGAAGTGGGACTTTGTGGGGTTTAGTAATCATCTTATCAGCTGTTTGAACACCCTTGTACATTGTCTATAAAGCACTATTCTCTCATGTAATAGTTAATTGACCCTTAAATATAAAAAAGAAATATCCAGAATAAGATATACATAAGTAGATTTTGTCACAGTGAAAGCTATGTACATAATTTTGCTGCAATATCACACTTTCTAAAACCAACAATCGAATAATTATAACAGACTGAATCTGAGTCCTTAAAAAAAATATTGTTAGTTTGAAGAAATACCAGTATTACCTCATAAACCTTTCTTCTCTGACTTTGGTTTCATACCCTGAGTTCTCCATCACTTAAATAACATTTCAGAAAAAGACAGCGCATGACACCAGCAATTTAGTTTCTTATGAGTAACGAACTGAATTAAACTATAAACTAAATTGAATTAAACTCCATTCTTAGTTGTTGAGTACCCAAGAATTCAATGCTTGTGCCAATTTTCTATCCTATACATACATTTATATTTTTAAATAAGAAAATACTATATAGGAGCTAATTTTAGAGTTTATTTACACAAGAAAATGCCTTTGATACTATTGTTTGTTCCAGACCAAAACCAGAGTTTTTAATTTTTGATTTTGTTATTATTTGACATTGTTTGCTTTCTCATTGTGCTTTCTGCAAAGCCATACATGAGTCTATTGTTGCTCCCACTGGACATAAATGACTTGAGCAAGGATCTGTGAACATTGAGGAAAACTACTTTGGGGGTCCTACGTCTGTTCTAGATGTTTGTGAGGATTTGGAATGGCATCAGAGAATGGCCAATAGAGGGTGCGCTGAATTAATTGTAAATAATACAAAATATTTCCAGATGTCATGTTTTTCTCTTTGCTTTGTTTCCTTTGTATTAACTTCATCTGGGTTGGCATTTTTTCCAACTTTCCTGGAGGGGGCATTAGCTGATCTGCTATTGCCAACAAGTTAATGTTCGTTAAACAATTCCCTTGCCCTAGTCTTCCATTGTCTAACCCCCCATTTATAACTGAAATACTATCCTGAGCTTTGCTGCAGTTAGCTGCATGTGTTCTATTTCATGTTTTGGACTTGAAAACTGCATCAGAACTTATAGTACTAAAAGAGCAAAAACTGCCATTACCCTTTAAAATGTCATTAATGTGGAAGCCTTCCTGGATCAGTGCTTTTTGTGCATATGTCTTAACTTCTTAAACCCTAACTCGCTCGTGGCTCAGGGTCATTCACTACGCCGGGTCCTGCTCAAGGTTTCTACTTTTTAAAGAGGAGTTTTCCTCTCCACACTTGCAACATGCATCCTCAATAAGAGGGATGTCTTTGAAGCCAACACATGACCAGCGATGTCCTGTGTCATTCTCATCCTGTATTGAGCAGAAAACGGAAGACCTAGAATTCAACTAGAACAATAGAGACATTTAAAAAGTTTGTTGTAATGTGAAACTGCCACAGGGCGGGAAGGATTCACCAGAGTCAGCAACCAGAACTTCTTCTCTGTGTTAGAGAACAAACTTTGAGAGTTTCTGTAGATGCTGGTTGGCGTGTGACCCCACTGGTGAAACTCAGAGGATTCCCAAATCACTCCAGGTTGTCCAGAAAAATGCACATGGTCAGGTTAGTGAAAGCAGAGACAGGCAGAATGATGAAGAGGACAAACCAAAGTTCGGGGTCTGGCTTCCAGACACTAAATGCAGGGGTGAATCTGAGGACAATGTCAGGGTACAGAAAACAGGTCAGAGATCCAAAAAACTCTATGACAGGTCTGATAGGGTTCAGGCAGGCTCAGAGAACCAGGAGGCAGAATCGGTGAGAATTAGGCAGGCAGAAAGGTAACAGGAACGCTGGACAAAACTCACCAATGGCTCATAATAATCTGGCACTAGTGGCTGGGCTGAGAGCTGGTTATGTAGTCAGGTGAGCAGGTGGATCTGGTGGAGGCTCACACGAAATGAGGTGGAGCTGACAGGTTGTTGAAGGATGAATTGAACCAACATTAGTGCCAGGAATCATGACATATCCAGGAAGTGTGAATGCAGTAATTCAATGACAAATCCTACCCAAACCCTCTCTGGTGCTTAAGGAAGGAATATTTCACAAAAAAATACAGTTTTCTGTGAGTTTATTAATTTCAAGCTTACCATATTTTTGTAAAGTATGTCTCGGGGGTTTCGATTGTTTTTGTATATTAGGAGTTTGTCTTTGTTTGTTTTTTGTAATAAAGGAGATGTACAATTATAGTATAACACCTCCATTTTCACTTTCAAATGATTAAAGTGTGTGTATATTTTCACGATAACTGATTTTTAAGCCATCATGCTTGGATAATGTTTTTATATGGTAGTTTTCTCTACATGATCAGGTACATCCCAGAGTCTCCTCGCTGGCTGCTGTCTCAAGGAAGAGTGTCTGAAGCTGAAGCTATTCTTAAAGATGCAGCAAAGCAGAATAAAGTAGAGGCACCAGAAGCCATATTTACACAGTCAGAGGTACATATGAATGCAGTTCCTTAATGTCATTAGAGCAGCAACATACGTATAGATTCAAAAAGATCTTTACCAGTTTAAACAGTACTGCATAGTTCTGTATTTATAATGAATTTACATCTGATGTTTTCTTTCTTGTTGTGGTTTGTCTGTTTTCTCAATTTATACAATTGCTTTTCATCACATTTTACCCTGCCTTTATTGTATCTCATTTGTTGTCACAGGTGGGTAAAGTTTTGACAGTGCAAAACAAGAAGGTTGACATTTTGGTTCTGCTGAAAAGCTGCAATATCTTCACTACAACATTGATTTGTTCAAGTCTGTGGTATGTGAATAATTAAACTGTTTGAAATGTTAATTGGACAATGCTTTTAGTCCCATATGTATTAAAAACTTGTTCTAAATCATTTGACAGGATGGTCATCTCCATGAACTACTATTCTTTAACTCTCAACACTTCAAATCTACATGGTGACCCTTACCTGAACTGCTTCCTGTCTGCTGCCACAGAGATTCCAGCATACCTCAGTGCCTTGTTGCTGCTCCATTACTGCTCCAGACGCCTCTGTCAGTTTTCAACTCTCTTACTTGGAGGCGTAATGATCATTTGTGTTAACCTTACAGGTACACGCAGGATAAGCTGAAGAGAGGCCCTTTAACTGTCATTGTACCATGACACTGCAACCATAATTATGTTAGGTTCTACATACCCTGAGTTGTATAGTTTCAAATATATATATATATATATATATATATATATATATATATATATATATATATATATATATGACCTAAATCATTTTGAGCATCTTTGAGCATCTTTGCAGGGAGTTGAAACATACCGTATGGAAACGGCATGCTTTAAACCTGAGGTAACATGAACAGTTTGCTCATGAGGAGTCGACCAAAATACCTGCTGAGAGGAGCAGAATTTTCATTAACACTCACAGGAATCTTTTAATTCCAGGGATTGCCTCAAAATGTGTGTAACAAAACCTTAAAGGTATAATTACGGTATGTACATTTTTTTAAAAGACCCACCCTCTCCACTTAAAAAAAAATTTGCACACGCACAACCCCTGAACGCATGCTCAAGCCTATTTGTCCTTGTGCACGCTTTGTTTAAAAGTGGCTGTTCTCTTCACACATACAAACATACTTTCCAAAATAAGATTTGCAATTTTTCCTCTATGTCAGACTCACAACCGGTAGGTGAAAATGGGGATGAACATGTAGGATGGCCATATGTAAACATATCAGTAGAATGATTGACAATTAGAAGGACCACTTATTTTGATGATCTGCCTGGAAAAAGAACATTCTCCACTATACCTTTAAGATTAAGGTACCATCATTTTTGTCATGTTTCATGAGTTTAATTCCTTTGAATCAGGATGAAAGGCACTATTTGACTTTGATTTGTTAAATTTCATAAAAGATATTATAAGTTATTTCTGTGACCATCGTGGGTTTATCTTTCCTTAAATGAGAGGTACTTACAACTTTATCCACATGGTTATGTTAAAATCTTAAAAGTGAACAGATTTTTTTTATTTATTTAGCTTCATAACAAATTGTGGCAACTCTCCTTTACTTGAGAAGTCAAGGTATTTTTAATGAGCCCTAGCTGACCGAATAACCTTGAACAGTAGCTTCCCTTCTTCTGCCACAGCTTCAACAAATGCCTGTTTATTAATTAAAACATTCAAATATCAGGATAAAATTCAACAATGTAAACATGCATTCCAGTGAGCCTCGCCTAACAGATCAAAAGCACCTTTTCAAAAGAGCAAAGCCTACGCAGGTAAAGAAGTTTTGAAAGAATACAGCTTGTTAAAGAGGTTTTTGCTTTCTGTCCAAAGTGCTTCCTTAGTTTACAGCGATGTTGTGTGTGTGGGTTGGGAGTTTTAGGTTTTAGACTGATTGGAAAGAGTCATTTAGCACCTGTACATTTAACAACTCATATAAATTAAAGGTCATCACCTACACTGTTGCGTCAGACACAGATGATTTGATCACTTGCAGCAAAGTGTGAATTAGTTTGAAATTAAGTGGATGCTAAACTCAGCGCATTTTTCTCTTCTCTCAAACCATTTATCTTCCCTAACCAAAAATACAAACATTTCTGTTCTGAGCTTAGTAGGGGGTTTTGTTGGTATAATGTCATAAAAGCTTATAAATATAAGTCTGAGATTAATGTGCTATATGGCATGTTTCACTTGCTATTGAAATTAGTAGAAGAAACCAGAATAAATTTTGAAAATTAAAAGTTATTGTTTGCACTGTTGCACATTGTAAAGGCATTCTATGTCAAAATCTCACAACAATATTGATTTAAACTTGAAAATTTTCCAGGGTGCATCCTTTATTTGTAAATTAATCTGTAATGGAGATATTCAGTGATTTCACATATATCACATTTTCATTTTTGCACTTGACATGACAACTTTCCATGTAAGGAAAATGTAACTTTTCTAAGTGACACCTTCCAGAGTGGTTTTAGTTTGCAGGACGGCCTGTTTTGAAATTGATGGTGAATCTCTCCGGATTTTTCTTAAGGGTCTCTATCTTAATGTTATCTCCTCAGATTTACCCAGTGTGGCTGTTCTACTTGAGATGATAGGAAAATTCGGAATCACATCAGCCTTCTGTGTTGTGTATGCCTTTACGGCAGAGCTCTTCCCAACTGTAATCAGGAATACAGCCATGGGATGTTGCTCCACAGCTGCACGGATCGGCACCATCATCTCCCCCTTTATCATTTATTTGGGTCAGTTTTTTATTTTTTCATGTTAGTGAGAATTACTTTAATATTTCATGTTTTATTCTTTTGCATAATAACAGAACAAAGAATTTTTTCAGGGTAGAAAGTTCTTCATATTCTTTAAGAAAACATAAAATAGAAATGAGTCATTAAAATTAAAAGCCTTTCATCTGTTTGTCATAGGGATATACCACAAGGCCCTTCCATACATTGTGATGGGCATTATTGCCATTTCTTGTTCTGCGTTCTGCTTCATGCTGCCTGAAACCCACAGGAAAGCTTTCCCAGAGACCTTAGCAGACATGCAGCAGGTATATGGGTAAGTTCAGACATAATCTTGAAGGTATGAAAAGAATGAAATTATTTTGCAGTCATTGATAACCATATTTTCCGAGACCATGTAATTACAATAGGCAAAATAAAATAAAAATACATGATATTTATTGATGAGATTTTACGCAGCCTCACTTCCCCTGATGTGTCTGTACCTTCATTTCAACAGGAATTGTGGAAAAAAGGAAGAGGAGGCAGAAAACGAAGATAACACACATCTTTAGTGTATAAATCTCTTGGTTGTTATTGTTGGATGGATTATATGCATTTGTTGGACTCGTCTTAAATACTAGCTGAAAATAACTGGTTAAAACTTATATTAGTTTTTATCATAAATTTTTTAGGGGAATTAACATTACAATATTATTAATAGTAATATTAGAACCAGCAGTGTTGTTATTATCATGAGATGATATTATTGTCATCACTATTTTTTTACAACTTTCTCAGGATTTTATGAATAGACCAACAGCAAGTAGTTCTTAATTGGAAAGGGAACTGAAAACCTGAAATCTGTGTATATCATTAGCATCCATACCCTTTACTTTGAGAACCCCTAATTAAAATACAATGCAACCAGTTGACCTTCGCAGTCATCAATAGTAAATATAATACTTTTGGGTGATTTTTAATAGAATAGAATATAGGGCTGTACGGTGGTGCAATTTATTCAAAACATTTCTGTAGCGCCAATTCACAACATGTCACCTTGAGGCACTTTACAATTCACCAGATCATACAGTCAAATTGATTCAAAGTTTTCTATCAAAGGAAAACCAGTTGATTGCATCGACTCATTGACTCTTCAGGCAATCTCTCACACTAACCATGCTTGTAGCGACACTGGGGAAGAAAAACTCCCTTTTAACAGGAAGAAAGAACCAGACTCAGTGTGAGTGGCCATCCGTTGAGGCCGACCGGGGTTAAATGAGACAGAAGCAGAGATAGAAAAAGAAGCAGAGGTACAAAAGGCAACTGTAAACTAGCTCCAAGGCGGCCCCGTCTAGGAAACACACAATCAGGCAGAAGAGCTCTGAGCCAGCTTCCGTGTCAGAGGATAAAGAAAGCACATCCAGCCAGTGACAGTCAGAGAAACAGGACTATACTGAAAAACCGGCCGATCTCGAGCATCTATAAACAAAGGCGCAGATAGGGAGAGATAGAATGAAACAAAATGATGAAAAGAGGTCCCTTTGTCCTCCAGCAGTCTTAGCCTATAGCAGCATAACTAAAGAGATAGCTCAGGATAACCTGAGCCACTCTAACTAAGCTTTTTCAAAAAGGAAAGTTTTAACCTACCCTTAAAAGTAGACAGGGTGTCTGCCTCACGGACTAAAACTGGTAGTTGGTTCCACAGGAGAGGAGCCTGATAACTAAAAGATCTGCCTCCCATTCTATTTTAGAAATTTTACGAACCACTAGTACAGGGATTCCCAAACTTTACCATGCCAAGGCCCCCCTACACCAGTACATTTTAAGCTGAGCCCCCCACCCCCCCCCCCCCCCCCCCCCCCCCCCTATATGAAACATGCGTAAAAACTCGTGTAAGCTACAGCGACAGAATTAAAAAATTAGTGAACAAACCACCTAAATAAAAACACATTTATTTTGTAAAGATAAAGTCACAATTATATTTTATTAAACTTTAATTCATTAATTTAATGCATAAAATATAACAATAACATTGGCCCACCACTTTAATTTTAATAACCTTTTTTAAACGGTAAACCTCTTTATACCTTGCAAAGACAGAAAGATTTGTGAACAAAATAAAAGTTTGTCCCAAATTAAACATGCAGGCACTTTATATAATGCAGGCCTAATGCTTAAGTGTGTATGTATGGGGCCGTTGTCCCCGGGGTCTGCTAATGGGGAGGGGTATAAACATCTCCCTGAAATTAGTTTGTGGAACTTGGAATGTCTGCTTACCGATATTTACGCCATGAGTGTGGAACATGGTGGCCCTCACTGTATGTAGATGCAGCAGAGTATTTCAGTTGAACCTGAGACTGCGTCATCTGTTACTGAGAAAAGGCTGCAGTCATTTCACTTTCACTTCTGTTCTAACACGATGTTTAATATCTACTGTGCAAATGCTAAGACTTTGCACAGAAGATGTTAAACTGTTTTAGAGATTTTCTTTGAATATATATGAAAATATGCTGTTTCCTTTTCGGTGTTCTACAGTGCGGATGGACGGAGTTGGTGAGTTGATGAGCTGCCACAGCTGCTGATCATTAAAACCAAAGCAGATTGCATTTTGGGCAAAAGTAAAAGTGAAACCTGCAGGTTTAGTCAACGGTCAGATTCTTTGTTCACTTCACCGAACCTCTGCGGTCTGGATGGATTTTAAATGTATCAAGACGAAGGATTTGGATTTATTAAGGGTAAGTTTTATTTTTAAGATGTTACACCATCGAGTCCTCTTGGCGATGTGATGATCATGATGCGTTGGCATTTTATTTTCAGCAGCCCTGATGCCTTTTTTTTTACTTCATTTTTGAACAACCTTTAACGGGTTTCAGCCTAAAACATCTTTATGATATAAAAATATCTTTTAGTAATAACGTCTGTATTGTCGAACCTTCATTATTTTAGTATTTTTATGTTCTTCATGTGATGTTTGATCTTTTGTAAGCACAAATCGTCTAACGTCCGCGGTGATCTACATTTCAGCCCAAACATAAAAAAAATAACGTTATTTGACGATAAACGTTAACAGATGTTAACCCAGCATATGTTAACTTCTTTCTGATGAATGGCGATTCAAAAAATTCATAACTGTAATCGCAATATGTTCCACTGTATTTAAAATGACTCATCTGTCCATATATGGCTTTTGCTTCTTTTATAAGCATGGATGTCATATCAGAAATTGCCACGCGATGGCGCCAAACTCCACAGTAACATGAATTATTTACTTTTTTTTGGTTGGTCGTTTATGAATTATTTAGATCAGGACTCTTTAACGTTTTCTAGGCCAAGGACCTCTAGACTGATGGCGAGATGGAGCGAGAACCACCTAATTTGATATATATATATATATATATATATATATATATATATATATATATATATATATATCAAACTGGTCCTATAGTCAGTCAAATACAGATGGAGTCATGTAACAAAAGTAATTTCTCCCTGGGATTATTAAAGTATTTCTGATTCTGATTCCTTTTTCATGGGACAGGTGTTGTGAATGAAACGGTGCCCAGCTTGAAAGAGCTCCTGTGTGTCGCTGAATTGATGACTGAAAGACATCTTCTGCCTCCATTTATCTGTTTACTTCAGTGTGTTGAATTCATGTTAATGTGTATTTTAAGACATTTCATTTAGTGGAAAAAAATGGAGGGGGGGAAATAAAAAAAGTCTAATCAACCAAAACTTTTGTGGACCCCCTGTTGAAGACCTAAGATTTATAGCGAAACTCAAATAAGAGCTGACCTGTACTGATGGAGCGATATAATGAAACACTAACTAAAAAAAATCTTTTTATTTCACTTTACAACATAATCACAGCCATTAATATGCATTTTCATACATGTGTTTTTGTCCCAGTTCTTTCCCATTAAACCTAACCAACACAATGCAAGCCTTCTTAACTAATAAGATGCTGCAATGCAATCTAGTCTTGTAAAACAAAAGAAAAATGAATATGTAATAACAAATATAAAAATTATAGAGAACTTAACTTTACTGCCGTTTTAGTCTTGGATCTTTCTGTTAGATGATTTTTTGTTAGTCACCAAAATGACACTTCATGCATTTTATAGACTGGTGAGAAATGTAGGCTTTAGAAATAATAATAAATGATAAGGGGAGCCTTTGGGTAGCAGTTGCGTGACATCTATTCTGTGAGGAAGAGTGGTGTTCATCACAAGGTTTTTCTATTGATCAGTTTCTTTTCTCATAACAGACAAAACTGATCCCACTCCTTTGGACAAGGATTACACATGAATGGTTTCAGTATTTTTTACTATCAGCATGATATTTGAAATGCATATCTGAGTGCAAGATGTCCCAAGCAGTCTAAGAATGCTTAAAATCAAGGGGGATGTTTACTCTATTCACCCTTAGTCCAATTCTTGAACTTCCTGACCTTCAATCAATTTGGTAATTTTGATTAGTTGATTAAATCAGAATGAATTAACCAATCATTCTTCATTTGATGTTTATCTTGAGCAAAGCTGCAGTTCCCTTCTCTACCCCTGGCCTGTTTCCAAAAGTCATCACCTCATTATGAGTCCACAAAGTCACACACTGGGCTGCACTGCTTTGCAGTTTGTAGCACTGCTGCCTTGTGGAAAGAAGGTTCTGGATTCCATTCTTGGCCCGGGGTCTTTCTGCATGGCATTTGCATGTTCTCCCTGTGCATGTTTGCGTTGTCTCTGGGTATTCCGGGTAAAACTGTCAGGTTAATTGGCTTCTCTAAATTGTCCTTATGTGTGAGTGTGTGAATGTGCTTGTTTGTGTATTCCTGTGTTACCCTGCGATAGACAGTTGACCTGTCCAGGGTGTACCACCCCTCTTGCCCCTACACTGCTGGAGATAGCCACTGGCCCTGACGATATAAGCAGAAGATGGATGTAATTTATTATCAATTCTGCACAATCCCTAATGAGATCTTTAACTTACACAGAAACTAAACACCTTTTTTTGTCCTGTAACATTATTTTGCTGCAACTGGTTGAATGCATTTGTTTTCACAAAGGTTTCAAGCACCACTCCTGTTTAAAGCACCATTCCAGATCTTCTAATTCACTCAGAATAAGAGCGATCTTAGCTAAATTAACATTATTAACAATCAAATTAGCCCAATAGGCTTTATTGTTGCAAGAAAAAAATTACACTACGAATGAGGTTGTTTTTTCCATTGTGATTTTTTTATTCAGTGCTTGTTTTTTTGTTTCATGGTTTCCCTAACATTACACATATAAATGTATAATTTATTTATTTTAATTATGAAAATTCTAAATGAAAAAATTAGATTCCGCATTAACAATTGAATCGGAATATACATACATTTACATGCTTTATCAGTTATTAATCATTTGATCAGATTCATTGATTTGTATTGTCCTTAATATTAAGTTATACATTTTTAAGTTTCCTCCTAATATGCCTCTGCAGTCTACTTTTCTGGGGTTTTTTCTACCGTTTCTTCATGTAAAGCACTTTGAATTGTCCTGCTGAAGTTATTTATATATACAGTAGCTAAGCTCTTCTTTATGGGGCTAGAACAGTCTCAAAGATTCAGAAACTCACATATGTGACTCACAAATGTAAAGGATAGTCCAAATATACACAAGACAAGATCCGCACATGCACATAATGATTCTAACAACCACATAAAATGTACACATTCACAAGATAAGATAAACAAAGGGAATTGTGATGTTTGCACAATTATATCTTTATTAATAAAGTAGCCGTGGTCTGGGCTGCATTGCATTTGAGTGTGGATTTTTGAGACTCATCGGATGTGACTTGATGCACAAATGCATTTTTTTTTATAACAAGCTATGATTGCAATAATTTAGGTAATGTCATTTTTTTAGCCAATATAAGCCAATGAC